ATTTACGTCAAAAACATTTACAAATGCTATTGATCAAGGAATTGGACTCTCACCCATTTAGAGAACTAGTTGTTAGACATTTAAGAGTCCCTAGGTGGCTCAAACATTTAAGTGCTGGGCTACTAACAGAAGGTTGGTGTTTGATCCCCCGTAGGCACCTTGGAAGAAAGGCCTGGAGATCTCCTTCCAAACGGTCACAGTCATGAAAACTCTATGGAGAGCAGCTCTCCTCTGCAACATGTAGGGTTGCTGTGTATCAGGATCGGCTTGACGGCAACTGGCTTGGCTTGTTAGACCTTTACCAGCATACCACTACCTGAGCAAGGGTTAAGTCTGTTTGTGTGTATTTGTCCTCATCTAAAATATACTGCCTGTTTCATTAAACTGTTTCAGAAATTAAACAAAATGATGCCGGCAAAGTGCTTAGCATGGGACCTAGCACATATTAAAACCTCAGTTACTGTTAGCTATTATTATCTTCAGTGTAATAGTTTCTTGCTCCAGAACTGCCTTTGCTTATTCTTCTCTCCTAGTCAAGAAGGTTAAGAAAAAGTATACCCTAAAAATAGTTTTTACGTTTTCCCAAATTGTTTTATCTGACTAACTTTGAACAATTCTGATAGATGTCAAGGCTAGGTATAATTTCACTTGCAACCTCAAGCTGAATATAATATCCTGTTAGGACACTTGGTGGAATTTTAGGATGGGGATTGCAAAGTCTTCTTGTCCTTTGACTTGCAAAGAGAGTTCCAGTCTTTTTGAAAATGCCTCTTCCAACATAAGAACAGCTTCTGGTCTGAGGAGAGACCAAGGAATGCATAGTAATTTTCTAGAATTTCCTTTTCTGGTCCCTCTGTCTTTTTTGTCTCTCCAAGTCTGTAACTCCCTTGGCCCACTGTCCTTGATTGTCTTTTCCTCTGTTACATCTGTACTCTCAACACCAAAACAGCAGCCTAACTGTGATTGGCAGTATACCAAGATAACCCCAAATTTCCCTCCTCCTGGTGTTCCTGCCCTGTATAATCCTCTCTTCTTGAGTGTGGGCGTGAACTAGGAATGTGGTGGGGTAATTACTCCCATGATTACCAAACCAAACCCATTGCTGTCGAGTCGATTCCAACCCACAGCGACCCTATAGGACAGAGTAGAACTGCCCCATAGGGTTTCCAAGGAGTAGCTGGAGGATTCGAACTAGTAACCTTTTGGTTAGCACCTGTAGCTCTTAACCACTACACCACCAGGACTCCACTCCCATGATTAGGTTATATTATATGGCACAGTTGACTTTAAGAAAGGGCGATTGTCCTTCCTGGGCCTGGCCTAATAAGGTGAGTCCTTAGAAAGGACTGGGCTCTTCCTGAAGTCAGAGATTGGAAGTAGGAGATGGATTCCACATGAGGGAGATTGGCAGTTCCTGGTTTGAATATGGAGGGGGACATTTGATAAGGAGCTGAGAGCAGCAGCCTCTATGGGCTGAGAATGACTCCTAGCCAAGAGCCAGCAAGAAAACAGGACTTCAGTCATACAGCTGCAAGAGAGTGAATTCTGCCAACAACCTAAATGAGCTTGGAAGCAGATTCTTCCCCAGATTCTCCAAATGAGAACTCAACCTGAGTAAAGAGTCCACCTTAGCCAGCACGGACTTCTGATCTACCGAATGTGTGATAATAAATGGGTGTTGTTTCAAGCCTCTAAGTCTGTGGTAATTTGTTACGCAACAGCAGAAAACAAATACACCGACTATCAAGTGCCCTCACAGTATTATCGTCTTCAGTCTGAACAGCCTCAATTCAGTCACCGTATTGCCAGGTTATCTCAGCACCCACAGGTGCCTTCTTCTGGATTCTTCCTAGTTCCCCAGCGTTCCCTTATAAAATAGGCTATAGAATGGCTGCATTTCTTCTAGCTCTGGCTCAATGTCCATGCTATCCACAGGTACAACACGAGCTAAAATGATCCAAAGGATAGTCAAAAATGCAATGAATGAACTAAGAAAGATGTATAAAATTCTGAGGAGGCATTCACAAAGCTATACCAAAAAAAAGAAAGTGTAAATCTGTTCTGAAATAAAGCAAGTCTGGCCAAAAGTTAGACCAGTCTCCCTGCTGTGGCACTTTTGCACTGCTATGTAATTATTTCCGTGTTAGGAGGCTGGGAACTCCGTAAGGCTTAGAGACTGTGCTATGTTCATCACTAAACTCCAAGTATAGTGTTCAGTATATTACAGGTGTGCAATAAATGTCTTCTATATTCACTGGAAACAGAAGCATTTGCAAATGATAGGATTTACAGCTAGCCAAGAGTAGTTGAAGTTTTTCTCCAAAA